ATTCATATATACTTTGATTTGCGGTAATACAATGATCAAGTATAAAGAATGGAGCACAATATAATAAAGATCAAACAAGCAGATCGATGATATTAGGTTTTGGGTTTAAAATCATGTTATGAGTTCTGTAAATAAAATTGTAAACAATGGTGCTAATATTTGGTCATGAATAACTTGGTCATTAATAAGAAAAAATATTTGCTTTTTATATCTTTCTCTATTAATGAAAATCTGCTCTATTAAAATACTTTATTTACTTAAGCTGAAGAAACTCAATCACCCACTAAAGCTTGTGTTTATAATCTATCACTAGTTAGTAATCAGAATAACAAACGAAGATTTATCCGACACGAGACTTCTAACTTTCCTAAAACTTCCTCTTAACGCAGTTACATTTAGTTTTACCGAACATATTTTTCTTTAGAAGTTGTTCTTAGCTTTGCTCCTACTTCTAGAAGGTCTTCGCATCAATAAAGACTTGAGCGACTGTCTGCTATTAGATATGTTTTTATTTTTGAGCAATAACAAAACAAAAAAAAAATTAATAAGTAGAAAATGCTTTATTAGAATAATGAAGGTATATAGAGGAAAATTAGTTCATATATTAATATTACCATCGAGGTAGATAATTTCAAGATTGAACGATGTGAATAAATAACAAGGGATATTCCGTTTCATACAACCCAGAATTCATACATAATATACGATTGATAAATATTCACTCATCGAAATAGAATATTTTGTAAAACCTCCGACAAACGTTGTAATTAAAAATGAGTTAATATGCATTCTTGAAATTCCTGACTAATCATTTCTTGACTAATCATCACATACATTACATTCATTCTGAAAACTTGTTTCTGTTACAATAATTTAGTAATACTTAATAGCTTAAAATATGCAGTACTTTGCTTTCAAACCTTCCTACAGCGACATATTATACTATAAATAAAACAAATGCATGCTCAAGAACTGGTATGGGCGACATCTTGCAGTTTCTAGTTTTTTTGCAATGGCTAAAGATGTTTTGCAAGGAAATATTTCAACGCAAACGTAAGAGACAAAAACAGAATATCAACTATATAGACTTGTGAATTCATATTTAATTAAAATAATATAAAACTTTTCGAAGGATTTTATCGACTAAAAATAATTCCAGATATATTATAAAATACAATAATATAATATTTATATTCATGGCATTCACATATTAAGTGTTTCATAAAAAGGTCAATGGTTCACGGATTAATTTCGGAATCTAAATTTATTTTTAGAGTATACGAAAATACATTTTAACAAATAATCAGGATCATAATAATCTTAGTTTGCCGTTTAGTTTGATATGCGAACTTACCTTGCATCCTACTCTTAATTAAATTAACTGACAGTGAAAAGAACTACCCGAATTATCTAATTATAAGAAAAAAGTTAACAAATAATCGTTCCGTATGATTCTATGTTATTTTAATTATTTATGAATGGTTATTGTATGAAATATTTTATTTTGGATAGAAAATCCAAGTTCTTATCAGAAAATCGGCAAAAAATTAACAACCGGTGCACATTTGTCGCAGACGAGTTTTATCAATGGTAAAACAAGTGTGAAACAAAAAAAAATGGCATATATCAAGTAAAACACAAGCATGACGTGACCACGTATCAAATTATTTCAAGGCAATTCAAAAGTGCCATAAATTCAAGGTAATAATATTGTTGTACTGTCAACAATATACTCTAGAATTGTAGTTTGTAATTGCGGTATCGTGCTGAAATATTGCCTAATTAGATACAAATTATATACATATATTAATACAAATACAAATACATACACACACACACAATATATATATATTGATGAGTTATTTAGAATCGGGCAGTAACACCAAGTAAAAAAAACTAAAGAGGTTTTTGAAATACTTTATTTATCCATACGTTTCGTCTTCATCGAGACCGTCATTCAGTGGAAAAATTAAAAGATTCTTTTACACGGCCATAAATATAAGACTAGATAACAATTCGCTTTGCAATGACTATAAAATAATCCTCGACCATTTTAAAAACACCACCATAACTAAATGAAGCGTGTATTTTATTATTTTATTATTTTACTAAAAACAAATGTTTGCCAGTTTTTTTACACTTTCACAAAATTGTAAACACAATTCATTCAGTATTTAGACGTTAGTCAATCTGTACACACTAGAATGTAACCAAAAATTGTCAAAAAAAATAATTAGTTTAAATGTTCCAGTTATTAATAGCTTGGTTTATCACAGTGTAATAGTGTAAGTGTATTTTTGTATAATTAATTTCTGTAAGTATTTATATATAAGTTCTATAACTTCATAATATTTTTCTCCTACATAATATAAAATCTTTTAGTTTTTCCACTGAATGACGGTCTCGATGAAGACCAAAACGTATGGATAAATAAAGTATTTCAAAAACTACTTTAGTTTTTTTTACTTGGTGTTACTGCCCGATTCTAAATAACTCATCAAAATATATATCAACACCAAACTCACATATTTCAATATATATATATATATATATATATATATATATATATATATATATATATCTTCTTTTCCTTAATTTCGTAAGAATTGATTCAGAGAACATCACTATAGCTTTATACTCTCCCCAATAAAAGCAAAGAGAAAACCAAGAAGTGTAATAAATAATTTTAATTTTTTTTTAAAGAAAATTGCAAAAACATAAGTGATTATAAAAAAAACTAAAACGATTAATACCTTAATTAAACTACTTCTCGGATAAATTTTAAAAATCGTTGATGAGACAAAGAAAAGTCTATGAACTTGTTGCAGTAAACTTGACCTCTTATTACAACGGTAATGTATAAAGAATTACGGCATTATGTAAATAATCTATTCGGAAAGCTTTTGTTAAACTTTAGATACTCAGTAATCTGCTGAGCACTCCGGAGAGCGCGTAGGTCATTATTGTGTCTTCGACATATATTGTGGGGATATTATTATAAGTTATAGATGACTCAGCAGTACATAGTGGTGTGCTGGTAAGTTAATAAGAAATAAAATCTTGAAAGAGAAATTAATTACAATAAAAGTTAATTCATGTGTAGGCAGAGAATTATACATAGTAACTACAGCAATGCACATTAGCAAATGCGATTAATTACTACTTGGTTGGTCAGATAATCAATCTAATTCCTGTCCTAAAAATATAATGGATTGAAAGTTCATTTCATAATGAACTCGTAAAGGATGCGGTACTACTTGAATGCTTAATCCGAAACACGCAAGCAGGCACGAGAAGCTAATGTTCTAAAACTTAAATCAAGTTCAAGTATGTAATATTTACATCAATGTGAATAAACTATTTAAATTTTTCCATTTCAATTTTCTACCTCGTAAATAAATCAAACTTCCATAATTGATACCACGTATATGCACATGCATTCTGATTATTCGCGTTTCTGATTAGACAACCTACTCAATCCTGGATGCAAATTAAATTCGATTTCTCCAGATATGTACCTTTGCCACGTAGGTAGAAAATAATATATATATATATATTATTATATATATATATATATAATAAACATATATATTGTGTGTATGTGTGTGTATATATAAATAAAATATTTATTTGGAAACATATATTTTAAATTCATATTTTCGAAAAGCGAAAACGGATTACACTACTGCTTGGATATATAAGCTTTGAAACTCTTAAACTCGAGTTTATAGATTTCGTGCTAATAATATATTAATATTATATACATATTTTGTTTATATTATTATATATACTCAATATATTGATATTAAGTAATATAACAATAGCAATAAGGGTTTGATTGTATAATTCATCATATTTTGAATATTTTTAACTTCCCGTAGGGTAAGTTATTGTAATGGGCCGAAAATCAGAATTGAAAATTTTTACATTTCTCGGCGTTTTGAAGGTTTCTGAACATTTTGGCATACCTCAGAAAAAATGGATGTGTGTGTGTGTATGTTATGTATGGATACAATTTTTCGCCCACGTTTTCGGGCGTACGGATCAACCGATTTGAATGGTTCAAAAAACATTCAATTAGTAATGATTGGGAAAAGTGGTTATTAGTTTTTCGCAAAGGCAGGCCCAGCCATTTCGAAGATACGGAGCTAAATGTACAAAGAATGGCAGTTTTTGAGAGAACTAAGCGTCCGATTCAATTGATTCAAAGAACTTTCTGCCTGTCTTAACAAAATAATTGATTTTGGAAAAAAATTGTCTCAATATTTTTTTTTTTTTTTTAATTTTTTGTATATCGAAAATAATTCAAATTTTATTTTTAATTCTGACTATAGTTGTAATATACCTTAAACAAATAATTTCAACTCTGCAATTCAGTTTATATAATTCTTATAAATATTAGACAATTATACAATATTTATAATAACCTATTTGAAAACATTCAGTATTCCTCGAACATTTCGTTACGGTGCGGGAAGTTCCAGCAATTTGCCTTAAGGCACGATGCCACCCTCCCCACTAGTTCCTTTTTTTCTTTTGAATATTAACCCAAAATTATTGAAAAATATTAGTATACATTTGGTGTAACTATTTTGTATATGCATTAATTTTGGAAGCATATATAAAGAGCCATAAAATTAATCTGTCTTATTTCAAATGAGATTGATTGCACAAACTATTAAAATGCATTCCATTATATATAAGAATCCCTTGCAATTATGACCTTACTGTGAAATGTGCAGCATGAATAATATATTTATGCAAATTGCGCCCTTGAATAGCTACGAGTTTAGATTTAAGTTTACGTCGTCACTGACGACACAATCTGTGCCTTAAAATTATCGATTACCTTTCATGCTACATTAATATTATTAAGTACTTCAAAATATATTGTAATTGAAGTTTATACTTTTTTATTGAAATCGTACCAGTTTCAAAATTCGTGTTTTTTGCCTCGCGGCAATTTAAGTCTCTGAGTCGTCGTCGGGCTCGCACGAACCTAACAACGCAGTGAATCATCAAAGCGACGCTCGCCTAATGTCAGTGAACAACAAATGTGAGACTTGAATTGTGAATTGCTCTTGTTTTTCAATGAAAATGATTTATTTTAATAAAGGATATTGAAATATAAGTCAAAATAATAGAAACAACACTATTAAAATCAGTTACACATAATATTGACTCTATAGTTTAGCATAACTTATTCGAAACGATCAGGTAAAAAACAATGTGTGAATTTTTAACATAATTAAATTGTTAAATGGAGTATTTTATAGATCTTAATTATAATTGTGATCGATTACTTTTAGTGCAGAATTTAATACGTGTTTTTGGCTAATTTAATTCATTGATAAAAGTTGTGCAAAAAAGGCTATAGAACCACCATATGTGAAAAATTTATTAATTTTTTGTTACTAGAAGTGTTTTGCCTCAGTGATAGTCAGTAATAACTAAATATTATTTCTATCTATTTAAAGTAATAAAGCAATACAAAAATCTTACCTAATTAACAAAATATAAACGCCTGCAAAAAATGTACGAGAAAATCTAATCTTCAAATTTTGTGATGCAAACAAAGATATTTTTGCTTGTTTTTGTATTAAATATTATATACATTATGCATTTAAAAATATTGGTGATTTAAATCCACACAATTATACCCTCCGGCAACTTATAGTTCCCTTAATTGAATTTCTATGACCGCAATAATGTAATATTTATTAATTTTTATTATAAAATGATATTTATTATCATTAATTTATCATAAATAAATATATGTTAATTATAATGACTGGATAAACAACACTCTGAAACTGCAATGATTGTATCACTGAAATTGGATTTCCAATATTGTATTATACGTAATTAAAACATATTTCTATGGGCAACTAACAGCTCATTAAAATGTATGTCTCTTAAAAATCACCTTATAAATTTGAAATTAAATGTTCTGCTAAAATCACAGACAATCATGTTTCCCCAACAACAAATTTTACAACTATAGAATATTTTATCACTAGCTCGATTTTTTTTTGTATATCCATTTATTTTGAATATCGGATATTCATTATTTCTGAATTATATATTTTTATATTAAATTTCGAATTTTATGATATAATCTACTATTTCAAGGTTAATCCGTAAAAATGCCTACGAGTGGGCCTGTTTATCAACCCACAACTGTTACCTATGAACAGCAGCCAAATGATTCATCATGGACAAGACCGGTTAGCTATTTATCACAAACTGTCTCAAATAGACGGTATCTTCACAAACCCATGGTACAAACATCAATCTTAATAACTGGTTTAATAACAATCATCATTGGTAAGTTTAGAGACAAAAATATTAAGTTAACTAATTAGTTTTTTTTTAAATGTGTGGTTGAAGAATCAATAAGAAGTTGTTACAATTTTCCATTTAAAGTTGTTATGCTCATACCTTTTATACACACAATATATAGTCAATTAAAATGCTAATGCTGAAATAATACCTTAAAAAGTAAATATGTAAGTGAAATACAGAGATTAATAATTTTCCATTTAAAATATAAGAACATACATTTCCATTTAATATATAGGGATATACAGAAAATATAATTGAGTTTGATTGTTTTAAATAAGTTATAGAGTGAAATATTAATCACTTATTTCTGCAAGACACGACAGACAAATTCATAAAGTTTCATAAAGCAACTACAAATTTGTGGACAAGGAATAATTGTCATTTTTTTAGGTCTGGTAATGATAGTTAATGGTTCCATAAATTACGCTGACACACGACAGTATCCTAAAGAAGTTGGTGAAGATCCAATTTATGCCCCTGGTGATAGCGCATACTTAGCTATAGCAATATCAGGTGTCTTAGTTGTATTTTTAGGCTTGGCAGTTTTAGGTAATTAAAAAACTTACTATGAAGCAATCTGTATATCATAAAGTTGGAAGAATGTAAATCTTAAATGTTCCCTTCACATTGTAGTATTTTATATACGTTTGGTTGGCTGCCGAAGAACTTGTCCATGTGTACCATCAAAGGAAGCTCGATTGGCAAGACATTTACAAGGAAATGGTGCAGCACAAGTATTGGCATTAAATCCGTCCACAGATCTTTTAGTGTCTGCTCAATATGCACCAGTATCAGAAGTTCCTGCCCAAATTGATGAAGAACAAAGAAGGAAGCTCATGGCCGGAGATAACAAAGATTGGTTAGCATACATAATATTTTTGAATCATGAATGAAATAATATGAATGAATAGAACTAAATAAATATTATATTCTGCAGTGTGAGTAGTGCTGAAGAAAGTGATAAAATGTTGGAAGCAGA